CCCCCCCCTGAGCTGGCAGGACCCCCGGAGCCAGAGGAGGAGATCCTGGGCTCCGATGATGAGGAGCAGGAGGACCCTGCAGACTACTGCAAAGGTCAGACCTGCACTGGACCCAGACCATGACTTCCACTCTTTCCACGTGTCCCTCAGAGCTGTCCTGTTCCTCATTGTCTCCTGTCCCCACCTGTCCCCCTTCTCCTCTAGTTCCTACCCTCAGTGGATCTGCAGCAGTGTTTTGTAACCATTAATGTGCCGTAAACATTTCAAGCTTGTTTGCTTGTTGCCAGAAAGGAGCAGCAGCCTCGTTTTCTGCTGCGGCTCACGGTGGCAGAGAGCAGCAATGTGCATTCCAAACTGGACAGAATTCTGTAAATCATGAAAAGCATTTCGTTTTGCCTGCCCTGTCTGCTTATAAACACAAAAAGAAGAAATTTATGTTGATGAGTTTTGATCATTAGGCATTTTTGCTCCAAATAGAAGCTTGATCTTATGTCCTGATAGTGTCAAACCATCATTTCTCATTTCATTAAAGTTAACGAAAAATAAAAAGTTCACATCTTTCTTGTTTTTCAGCAGTTTTTGACAAAAAAGTCATACATATCTATTTTTTCAGAGAGTTTTAGAACCATCTGAACATGGTAAATGTATTCTATGAATAATACCTGGTGGTTTACAACATTTTCACTGCACCCCGACTAGTTAACTTTTTAAAGGTCAGCTGTTACTGCTGAGCCAAGTTAACATGGTTTGTTTTGTTTGTTTTTTCTTTTGCACTTTTTTCTGTTTCCTGTTTTTTCCTGCAGCAGATCAACTGTTGTTGAGAAAGTTGGCTGTGAAAGCTCAAAGCCACATGGTTCACACTCCCTTCAGCTTTCACACCAGGTTTTATTTGTCATATTTGACATGTGCACAAAGTATAAAGCTCAGTTTTAATGTAAACCTTATGGATGCTGGCAGCTTTATGGCACTCAGCAGAAAAATGTAGTGTGATCTGCAGAATCATTTGATGTTTGTCATAAATGATAGACAGTAGATTAATGAAGAAATTGATATTTGGATCAGGCTTATTGTTTGTAAATTCTGCAAAAATAGCTTGTTTTTATCCTCAAATCTTTATTAACTTCAATTAAATACTTGTTATGTTTAACTAATTTTATAGTTAATAATTTAATATTAAGCTAGCTGATTTAACCAGAGTACCAAACCCATATAAAAGTATCAGAACATTAAAACAATAATTTAGCTTTTTGAAATCTGGTTATGAACAATGATAATCTTAGCGGTGCACAGTGTATGCACGGTTTATACTCCTTCATGAAAGAAAGTTCAAATCTGTTCAAATGGGATTTTGTGGAGAGGTTATGGGCAAATATTATCTAACCTGTTGCGAAAAACTCTTTGAACCATCTCAGCTGATGAGCTACTGACTAGTCTGAGCAAGGCCCAGACCAAAGATTTCTGTTGTCTTAAAAAACGTCTATTTTTAAAATTTCCTGTTTATAAAACATATTATTTTTATGCCTTTATATAATTTTTACATTACATAGTTATTTACATATAATCATTTGCTAGTTTGAAAGCACAAACTACAGCAGCAGCTAGCTGTAGAACTTCCTGAGGCACCTCTGGGGAAAAAATTATGTTTGTTTGTTTGTTTGTTTGTTTGTTTGTTTGTTTGTTTGTTTGTTTTTCTGCCAAAATGCCCATGTGAAACAAAACTGACAGCAGTGTTTACAGAACCACTATGATGTATATAAAAGCTGATTAAGACAGCAGCTGTTGACTTTGGCCTTGACTACATTCAGACTAGCCTTTAGCTTGTTTTTACAGACAGAATTAAACTATTCCTGCAAAATGTAGATATTTAAAGATCTATCCATAACAGGTAAGATAGTTGCTGTTTATAACCTTTCCACGGAACTCCACTTCAAAATATCTGAAGCAGTCCTTTAGGGTGTGCCTCATGTCAGAGCACAAAGTCCAACACAGTGACAAAGCTCACGTTAAAATAGATCAAAGATCCTAACATCTCAATCAGCACAAACTGCATTAAACTTAATGTTCAGAATACTGTCCAGCTCTTTAGCAGGTTATCACATTTGACTTGTTGGAATGATTTCAGAAATATTTTGTCTCTTTAGAAATCTGCAGCTCAGTCACTGCTTGTTTTTTTTTTTTTTTTTTACAACAGTTGCATGTCTCATAGGGTGTCGAGGGCAAGTTCCTGCTGTGGCTTTCATATTTTGTGACATTTCTGAATCTTACACTGTTT